GTCAGTAGCATACTAGGATCAAGGGCTACCAAGTTTGTATAAATGTATGACCTTGAATCATATTCAAGGTCACAAGGAGCAAATATGTTCAAAATATTTCAACAACTTGTTCTGAATAACCAAAAGGCTCAGGATGTTGATATTTAGTCAGTAGCATATGCTGGGATCGAGGACTACTTTGTTTGTTAAAGTGAATGACTTTGACTAATATTCAAGGTCACAGGGGTCATATTTTTTTTTAAAATCTTTAAACAACCTCTTCTGAATAACCATGGGTCCCAGGATGTTTATACTTTGCAAGTTGCATCCTGAGATGAAAGGCTATCCAATGTGTTCAACATAATGACTTTGTTCGACTTTTAATCACAGGGGTGAAATGTTAAAAAAGAAATAACAGGGTCTTTTGAATGAATTTTAATCATAAATACTGATATTTTTCCTGTAGCTTTATTTTAGATCACTTTAAAGGTTACAAGTATGAGTTTTATACCAGGTGAGCGATGCAGGCCCATTGGGCCTCTTGTATTGTTTTTTGTCACTTTGAATAATATTTCTGTTCATGTTAAAAACAAAAATCAACTATCTGTATAAATATATCAGGTGACCGTTAAGCCCATGGGCCTCTTGTTTCTTCAAATTGGAGCATTCTTCATTCCATATAGAGGATGAAGCAGCTCAACAGTTTTTAGGTCACCTGAGCTTTAGCTCAAGTGACCTATTGCTATCCATATTCGTCCGTCGTCCGTTAACATTTTACATGGTCCTGACAAAGTGTTGTTATTTTTCGGGTCGATCAGAAATCCAATATGGCCGCCACGGCCGCCATTTTGAAAAACTTTTTCAAATCTAAAGTCAAGTTCTACTGGGCCAATTGAATTGAAACTTTGTAGGAACGATCGACTCATGGTCCTGACAAAGTGTTATTATTTTTCGGGTCGATCAGAAATCCAATATTAATGCCACGGACGCCATTTTGAAAAGCTATTTCAAACTTAAAGTCAAGTTCAACTTGGCCAATTGAACTGAAACTTTGTAGGAATGATCAACTCATGGTCCTGACAAAGTGTTGTTATTTTTCAGGTCGATCAGAAATTCAATATGAATGCCACGGCCGCCATTTTGAAAAACTATTTCAAATTTAAAGTCAAGTTCTACTGGGCCGATTGAACTGAAACTTTGTAGGAATGATCGACTCGTGGTCCTGATAAAATGTTGTTATTTTTTGGGTCGATCAGAAATCCAATATGGCCACCAAGGCCGCCATTTTGAAAAACTATTTCATACTTAAAGTCAAGTTCTACTGGTCTGATTGAACTGATACTTTGTAGGAATGATCGACTCATTGTCCTGACAAACTTAAGTTAACGTTATACTTAACTATTTTGTACTCAAATTGGTACATATTTCAACAACAAAAATAAATACTGTAGGACTCAGGTGGCCGTTTAGGCCCATGGGCCTCTTGTTTATTAAAAGATTCTTCCCTTGTCGTGGTAATCTCCACTCAGTTTGGTGCTTTGTATTTATGATTCCTGTATAGCGACATTATTGAAATATGATATTGGACATGGACAGATTCTGCTTATTTCGGTTTTAAAATATTCAATTAATAATAATTTTGTACATTGCTATATGCGAATTATATGGAAAACAACTGTTGAAAAGTTGATAACTACAGAGAGATAGATATAAAATGAACACTCAACAGTAAGTTCATTGTAGCTGTGCTGATGAAAACCAAAATTTCATGATTATGACGATGGTATCAATAAAGTTTAACATGATGATAGCCTATAACTTATGTTGTTAAGATAGCTTTCATTGCTTTTTATGACTGATATTTCTAATGCTTTCACGCACACACGACCACACAAATTGTTGAAACCTAAAGTAAACTTCTCTTTGTTCTTTCAACGAGCATGTACTAGAAAAGGTGTAGTATTTCCTCTGTATTGTACACAGCATCTTAATAGTAATTCTACAGTGAAGAAGGGCGTAATTAAGACTTTGCAAGTGTCAAATTTATGGCTGCATGATAAATGGTTTCACTGAGTATAGATTTCAATGATAAATGGTTTCACTAAGTATAGATTTCAATGATAAATGGTTTCACTGAGTATAGATTTCAATGATAAATGGTTTCACTGAGTATGGATTTCAATGATAGATGGTTTCACTAAGTATAGATTTCAATGATAAATGGTTTCACTGAGTATAGATTTCAATGATAAATGGTTTCACTGAGTATGGATTTCAATGATAGATGGTTTCACTGAGTATAGATTTCAATGATAAATGGTTTCACTGAGTATAGATTTCAATGATAGATGGTTTCACTGAGTATAGATTTCAATGATAAATGGTTTCACTGAGTATAGATTTCAATGATAGATGGTTTCACTGAGTATAGATTTCAATGATAGATGGTTTCACTGAGTATAGATTTCAATGATAGATGGTTTCACTGAGTATAGATTTCAATGATAGATGGTTTCACTGAGTATAGATTTCAATGATAGATGGTTTCACTGAGTATAGATTTCAATGATAGATGGTTTCACTGAGTATAGATTTCAATGATAGATGGTTTCACTGAGTATAGATTTCAATGATAGATGGTTTCACTGAGTATAGATTTCAATGATAGATGGTTTCACTGAGTATAGATTTCAATGATAGATGGTTTCACTGAGTATAGATTTCAATGATAGATGGTTTCACT